TATGTTATCGTTATAAATTAGTTACTAGTACAAGGCTTCTACTTGAATAGTAATAGGGTTGCAGGATGTTTACGTCGATGTAACGATTCAGTTAGGGCCAATATTTACAATTATTTCATAATATTCTCCTGCAAGCAACATTCTCTAAAGAACTTTAGTAAGAAAGAATATTGACGCTACTAAGCTGTTCGACGGCATTATACCCTAAAATTAAAGCATTATAATAGCCTAAAGTAAGTGGATGAGTAAAATAAAAAGCGTAATTTTTTACATCAGCTTATATAGTAAAAGACATGAGGTTAATTAAAATGAACATCTGCAAGTTCTTAATACAGGATTGAGTGAAATAAGCTGTTTAAATACCTATATACATGTTTCCTATAAAATTTATAAATAAGTAGATATGCGTAAGCGTAACAGATTTTTCGAAATGTAGTCATATCCTGCTATTTCATTTTCTTGTAGCACGGGAGTATCAATACGTTCAAATATTTGAAAAATTATCAAAGAGTAATAGGTTATTTCGATATCAGCACAAATCGACTTGTATGTGATAGAGATGGTCTATAAGCCTTTATATAAATTTTCACTATAAAATACTATAAATGCTTCACAAAACGTATCATATACATAGTCATTTATAATTTAAGAAATCTTGACAGAAGACAATTAAAATGTACTAATGTTAGTAAAAATTCGTGATTGCATATCCACCACAAATTATATTTTAGGATAATGCTATCCTGATATCTTAATAAAAAAATTACAGGACTTAGCAAGATATTGCAATTTCATGGACGAATATTAAATACAGCACACTATTACATTTAAAAAGGAGATATTTGGAGCCACACTGGACTCTTAACCAGTCCAGTTTTCTTGGAAATAGATATCTGTACATATTTCTTATGACTACAATAGATAATTAATTGATTTAACTTACTTTAGGGAGCAATAATATCGTATCCACTGACGTATTGATATTTAAATTAATCTTTTAACTGTAGCAACAAGCAAAATTAAGGATAATCTAACTTATTTTACGCGGGTTAAAAGGAAATCGATCAAATGCGTGAACTCATAAATGTATTGCTATGTTCTATAGACAAAAATAAACGTATTTTTTTTAATTTAAAATAGCCCACATCCTGCTTTTCAGGCAAATCAAAAATAGGCTTAGTACGGTTGTTATAAAATCAGTAGGTGGCTGATTCTCAATAACTACATCGAAGGTAATTGTAGTAATTTATTAGCATATACTAACTTTGTACTAAAATCAAGATCAATATTCAACAGTAGGATAAATTACAACTACATTTAGATACCACTTTTCAACAAAATAGTTTTTATTTCTGCTATGCGCGTACGTAAAAATTATACTTAGTACAGCAATTTTTATTTCATAACTGTATAGCTAAGGCCTAAAATCGTTTTAATATCATTAATTGCGGTCTAATTATGTGTACAATATGATAATTCTTGTTTATTATAAGATTAGATACTTCGCTCTTTTTCAAAATTTATCTTAGATCCACAAGTGTGTAGCCATCTTTTATCGTTCTATATGTTATTAGATCAACTTGACTGCATTCTAAATTTATGTACCATCTACTATCGCATTAATATTGCTATTAATCTATAAATTGTAGCTACGAGTAAAATATAGGACAAATCTAGCTAAATTTATGTAAATAAGAAACGAATTCAATTTATTAAGTGAGCTCATAAATGCGTTGCTGTTGTCTATGGACACAAATACACGTTGTTTATTTAATTTAAAATAAAGTATATCTTCTTGTCACAAAACAGCTTTGCAACAAGATAACGTAATATACGATCAATAAGTCAATTCCTTGAACCACGTATCAAGGAACGATATCTGCACTATCACAAACACTTTTGCTCTACTAGCAGACTACACAAAGACTTAAACGCCTCGTATTTTACGTTAAACACTAAGTTAGAGAAATTCTTTTTATTTCACGATATACTGCATTTATATACTACTCCTCAATAGTTCATGAGTCATAGTTAATACAATTAACCTCGGAATCATTTACTGAATTAGATATTAAGTTTAGCTACTGCTCCCTTAATGCAGACAACAGTATTTACGAATATAGACATGTAATGACTAATACAGAATAGCCAGATTACGATATGTCCTATCACGGAACATTTCCATGATAATTTACAGTCTACCATAAGTAAATTACAATCACAATGATTCGAACTGTAAGTAGATGATTTGCATTCCCTATTATAACTATTAATTTCAGTATGTGTATAAGTGTCACTGTCATAAAAAGTCAGTGCTATATTAAAACACAGTATATCCAAATTAGAAGTTAACTAAATAAGGATAGTCTAATAGAATTATCCTAACATAGATATTTCAACTGTAATACAGTATATAACACTGTAACACTTCTTTTCTGCTAAAATAAAATAAACTTAATGGGATGATTTTAAATCATGACATGACTGATTCACTTGCTACATCGAAGGTAATGCTATTAATTTATTAAGATGTGCTAAATGTACACTTAAATTCGAGATCAATTTCAATGTAGGGTTATGTAATGAAATGAAAAGTGTAGAGATCAAGCTACAAAACTTTAACAAACTTTGATTCTACTTTCGTTGCACTCCGGTCGACTTAACGCTAATACTTTGACACCAAATATAATTTGGGGAAATAACCGAACAACAATTTATTACAAAACAAAAATGGAGACTAGTATAAACCGAACAACCTTACAAATACTTAGCTTTAAGTATTAATAAAATAAGTGACAGACTTAAAAACTGTCAACGACCAAACAACCTTTCAAAAAGAAGAACGTTTTAACTTACGACAATTCGACCACGAAGGCCTTTTAAATTCAACAAGTTCTTCAAGTCTTCTTCTACTCTCCCTCTAAATTTTCTAATTGCACTATCATTTATAGGCTTCGTAGAGCCGTCAGAGGTATTTAAAACTAAACATTTGCTAACCAATCGCTCTTAAGATCCGTTTTAGAAAACTACTTTGCAACATTTAAGAAAACAAAAATCATTCAAAGTTCAGACACAATTTACCCTACGATTCCGTTACAAAACACTATAAAACTAACCCACAAGCTAACTATAAAAATACATCAAACTTCACTTCTAACATAATTTCTATCATTAATACACTATAAAAGTCTAAAAATTAACCTTTAAACATCAAGATTTAGTCATAAAAACAACATTCTAACTACCTAACAATCAACACAACCTCTGCCAATTTCCATCTTATTTTCTATTTTCCTCACTAAATTCTCCTAATGTGACTTCAAGTCACGTCATAAAATTCCAAAGTTTCAAATTCATAACAAAAAGTCCAAATTTCAAAAATCAACTCTTACGATATTTTTCATGAACAAAAATCCAAAAATTAAAACAGAAAAATTATATCGGACATAAATCCGACCGGAATCCGAATCCGAAAAATCCGGATTTTATAAAGATTACAGTAATCGCTATTTCGCTAATCAAAAAAATTTTATATGACTATCACGACTACTTTTCTGACATTAGTATCACTGAGTATTGACAGTTGATGTTTTAGCGTCAGGTTGTACGGTGACTGTACGATTATAGACTACATTACAGTACTTTACCGTTATGTCATAAATCCCCTTTCTCTCAGGATAGGGTTTTGTTACTAAGTCAAATTAAGTTACAATTTGAATAGACGATCAAACGCCCTTTCTTTAGATTAGGCATTTGCTCTAGGGCTACTTCTATAGTAATCTATGTAATACCTTGTAAAATAATGAAGAAGAAAAGATGGCGACATGATGATTTGGCAGGGTAAAACTTACAGACACTATCACTTTCTAGTACAGTACAGTACAGTACTGTACACAGTACACGATATAAAGTTACTGAACCTCTGACAGGTCTACACGGTACGGTATAAAGTTACTGAACCTCTGTTAAATGAGCACATTATCGTAAACCGTCAGTAAAGCGACGGGAGTTTGCACTAGTAATATCTGATTCTTAATAGAAATTATGCTACGGATTATCTTAGCTTCTAACCCGAATAAAGCAGTCGGGTTTACAATATACTAAGATACCAAGTAAAATCTACCATTATAATCAACCAAATAAGCTATATTTTTTAAGCTAGAATACTTATCACGATACAAAAACTAAGCTAGAATAATTACGATACAAGAACTTGAGGGAAAATTCTAAAAATTAATTTTCATTACACCAGAGTCTAAATTGATGGATTGATGTTACTAAATCGTTTAAAATGCCAACTGGATTTACATAACCGTTACTTGTTCGATTTAGAAAATTTTTTTTCGGGAATTTATCTAAAATTGATCAACTTACAGAGTTTTAGCAAAAGAGATTAGATGGCCTTAAAGCATTTTTACAATTGTAAGGAGCTTTCTTCAGGCACAGAACGAAAGCTTTATCGCATTCACAGTTGGCTTGATCGCAAGGATCAGCGGAGGGCTCTATTTAATCATAAAAAAATGATGATTTTACGAAAATATTAATCAAGGCTGTAGTACAGCATCTAGATACAGCAACGGATTCATAGCTGGCCGGCGTTATATAATTTTAATAATTATCTAGTTAAGAAAGTATTTAATTGAATAGAAAACGACTCAAGGCGCAGAATAGTTATAAAGATTTAGTTAAAAATTTAATTTAATCCTGACACTTACTGCAAATAATTTCATTGTTCTGAAATTTCCACGAATAGAAGTTAAATTTTCCCTCGTATAAACCCTTGCAATTTGTATTTTGGTAGCAATTATCGTGATTCATACAACAGATATCAGTTTCATCAACAGGTATAGTACCTCTGGAACCCAAACCACAATAATTGCCATATCGTAGATAAGCTATAGGATTACGGTCGATATTTCCAAAATCCATCATATTGTATGAGTTGACAACGTTTTTTTCAATGCGTTTTGGTTTGCATTGGCATTCGACAATCAATGTTATAAGAAGGATAGCAACAGTCTTGGTAATCATCATTCAATCTTCTGAGCAGATTTATTTTGATAAAGTTAATCGATGCAACTTTTACAACGTCTGGTAGCTAATAATAAACGATATTGATAAATCTCAAACTTAATGGATTAAACCTAAATGGAGTCAATTTTAGTAGAGTTTATCGTGATAGAATAAACGCAGAAATGGATTTTATATTACCGCTTTATATGATAATGCATAAAATTTGCCACGTCAGCAGCTTGCATTTAGCTTTCAGTAGCCTACCTTAAGATAAACCGCTGTGATATAGATAACTACAGCTTATTATATTCTTTTAAACAATTTTATGATTTCTTATTTTATTTATGCATTACGTCTAAGAAAGCTTAATGGTATAGAAATAGTTGCATGATTAGAAACAACTAAAGTACTAATGAACTATAGTAGTAGTCAATTGCTCATGTTAGCTGAGATTCGTATGGATAGAACTATCTATTTGGAAGTAATCAAATTTGATATTTTCTAATATTCAACTGATAGTTTATCACAATATTAATAGTAAAGACGAGTACTATACTTATATTTTGTAGTATAATGAAATACGCATAGTTTCTGAAACTTATTTCCTTTTCTATAATTAATAAATTGTTAAGAAAGTTTTCAAAGTTTCGACTATAATCTTTCGTTTTTAAGACGGAGGAGATTAACTGGAGATGGTTAAAAATTCAATAGAGTTAAAGTGTGTAGTTATTAAAATCTTCCGTTTGCCTTACTGAATGAGTATGTCACCTTTAGATGAGGAAATAAACAATCTACTTCCAAGTAGAATTTAAGACTATATCGTATCGCTTCAATTCAATTGTTTAGTTGCAAAAGTTCAGGAGCAAGACATTATTAGGCCGTAAAGAGTAGAAGTTGATTAGTATAACAATGAAATATTAGAATATTTTCCTAACTGATATTTGAGCTACGCGTATAAGCGTGTATATAAATACTTTGAAATAGGTACCGAGTCATTTAATAAACATTCATGCAATAAGCGATGTTACATTTTAGATTTCAGATATTAGTATTTATAAACAGATTATATTTAAAGGATTCATTTTCTAGTATATCAAAACCTAAGATTTACTTTCAGAATGGACAGAGTTTAAAAGGGAAGGTAATTTTCTTCTTGAATTAAATCACTTATAATGTTCTCTCAAGAAAGAACAAGTTATTTCAAATTTTTATGTACTCGATTATATATACTGTGACAGAGCTCGCTCCGAAATGAATAATATTTTGATCTAATATATGTAATAAT